GCAGACAGGCTTTTTGGAGCTAACCAATAGGTAGCTTAATGTCCTTCCTTGGAAAAGCTGTTTAAGAAGAGCGTGGAGAGAGGCTTTGTTTTCTTAATGGGTTAATAAACACTGAGTTAAAGGTGATAAACATTCCCTGTTGGGCAGGTCAGGAAGGGGGGGGAATAATCAGAGTGTTCTGCCTGGGCCTGGCTAAACAGACTAAGCTGCTAAAACTAACCTGCAAAGATTGAATCAATTCAGGCTCAGGATTTTTGAATGTCTGTCCCTAGCCTTAGGGAGTAACTGGTTCAGATGCAAATAGCATTTGAAGTAGTCTGTTGTCTGTGAAAGCTCATGCCTCTCTGAACTACTTAGTTTCTAACACCCTGATCTGCCTCCTGCCTGACTTCAGACTAACGTGCCTAACGACCTCTGTGCTCACAATATGTAAAATCTGCAAAATAAATCAGTTTAAGATCAGTTATGCTGAATTGGAGCTCGCTCTCTGCTTATCTTGCCTCACTTTCATGTAAACCAGGTTGTTATCCAAAGGGATTTGACTGAAACAGTCCTGCAGGGGATTCTGTATTACCAGATCATCAAATAATTTGATGTAAGGGGGTGGGTGCAAAACGGAAAAAAATCATATCACAGATGCTGAAAACAATGAAAATTACCTTAAGAGTTCATGTGAGCATACCAGTACTTATGCTTATTTTGTTGGTCTTGAAATAATTGTCTTTGCTAACAGATGTGTTTGGCTTGTAAGTGATTATTCTACAGCACTCTGTCCAGATGAATTTTTCACTGTTGCTCACCAAATACATACTACATTAAAGTATGAGTTATTTATATTAAATTTCAGATGCCATACAAAAGACATTGCTGTTACCATGACATCATTTCAATAACACTGTACTATTTAAGCTGCAAACTGTAAACTGAAGATTTCAAATACAAACCTTCTAAACTCATGCTATAAAATGGAAAAAAAAGCAAAAAGCTGTCAAAAGCATGTATATTTCCATGCATGTGAGATCCACTAGCTCTCATACTCTTCTCTTGCTCTTTCACCTTGCTCCTCTTCTCATTTCATCCTCACTGTGATGGAGTCATCTCTTCTTTCCCTCTCTCTCCTAAGATTTAATCCCCTTTTATCCAATCCTTTCATCCTGCTTCCACCCCTCTTAGTTTCAGTGCTGCTGGGGACACCCCAGAACTCTGCTTTTCTGAACAAGCAGCTGTTCAGTTCCTAAGCCAGGAAGGAGCTAGAAGAGACCATCCAGAGTGTCCAAGAAGCAGAACAGGAAGCACTGGACAGCAGAAGAGCATCCACACCATATCCAGCATTCGGCTTATGCAATTCTACTCCCCCTGAGGCAAGGCTTTTCCTGCAAGGTATGGCAACATACTGGGATAGATTCTCTTTGATCATGTCAGATGAAGGAACCATGTTTACTATCACTCCTACAATTCACTCTATATTATCTGTTAGTTACTGGCCTTGAATAGACTCCCATCTGGTTTTAATTGAGGCAGCAGGGAATACAGCCTATTAGTAAGCACTTTGGTGAATACCTTGACATTAAGGTTTATTAAAAACTATGTCTACAAGGGGCACAATCAATTTAATGTGGTTGGGTTTCCCAATCAACAAACTATGGGCTTCTCATACAGAATCTGGAATGTGAAAAGAATTTAAGAAACTACTGAATATGTTAACAACTTGGGCATGAAATCCTTTAGAAAGGTTTTTGAATTGCAGTTGGAATAAATAAGTAAATTAACCCATGCATTCTTTTTAACTGACTTACATCCCTATGTAAAATAAAGTATTTCATTATTCTATTTTATAATTAAGGCTGTTTTACCGTCCCTTATTACAAATATGGTCCTTTTCTCTCTCGACATGTTTTAGAAGGAAAATTTTGCAAGCGTATTACCCCAGCCATAATAAAGTTGTTTTAAGTAAGAAAAAAGCTTGTTGAATGCCGCTGTAAGACTGGTATTGCCCCATGAATTCTGACAATTTTCAAAATGATTCTTATATAATACCAGAAAAATTTCAAAGTACTGTATAAATGAATAATTTTGTCTCGTTTCCCTTCTGTCTCTCTCTCTCTCTCTCTCCCTCCTAGAAAGGAATCAATATATCTCAAAGTATCACTTTATTTGGTATCCCAAAGTACTGTTCTATTTATTTCTTCTATCTTTATACTTTTCATGTATTGAAAAATAGTTTGGAATTTTACTAATTTTTCATAGGATTCAGAGGTCCCTGAAACTTTTTTTGTGAACACTAATTTTACATTGATAAGAGTTATTTGCTAGTGGTTGTAAAGAGATGCAGAAGGCAGGGTAGATTTGCACCTTACAAAATAATTAAATCAGAGATGTAAAGACATGATCATTGTGGGTCTTGATTATAGTATGACTTGTACAAAACTTTTGTACCAGTTATAACTATGTTGGTGAGAGCTGTGATTTCTTTCCCCTGATCTGCACATAGATATGTCAGTATAAAGGTGTTTGATACCAGTATAACTCAAACTGTACTAGTATAACTGTGACCATGCTTGAGGAATTGTCACTTTTAAACTATATTCCTGTAAATGAAGCAGCACAGCATTTTTTGCAGAGAAATCTATGATGTCAGAAATCCTGAGTCTGATTAGGCATATCAAGGTGAAAATGGCCTGTGCCTGCATTCTGTATTGAGAATGCAGTCTTGGAGTTTAGCTATCTACATTTAAAAACACAACTGGTTTTTGCATTGAAAATGTAGTCTGAGTACTGCTTTCTTTCACAAGTATTCCCATTGATTTCAATGGCATTAATACGGTGGAGTTCTGTTTGACATGAAAAAGGAAATCTCAGTCTAACTATATGTTATAAATGCTTGTTGGAGATGGTGGGGGGGAAGAAGATTTAACCTCTTAGGTTTCATTTGTTAGGCATAGGGGTCACAGTTAGGTTGGGTTTTGTCAATGAGAAATTAATAAATTTAACAGCACTGTAATATGGATTTGAGCTAAAGCCAACAATATGATGATGGACTGGCTTGTACACAATCACTGACCAAGTGCTGGAAGGCTCTTCCCACTTTGGAAATGTGGAAATCACGTTTGTACTTAAGTTCTCTCTGTTTGGGTACCAGATATACCTGAATCCAGGACAACTTCTATTTAAGACACCCCCCC